TAGATCAGTTATAACTTTGAAATATCCACATCATATATGAGCAATGAAGCTTAGAGTTGTACTACTGTAGGGAATGAAGTTGTTGGCTGATGCCAAAGGTTCAATTCCTCTTATTTTCCTCATAACTGATGGGACTGCTGAAAATGAAAAAGGGATTTGCAATATGATGAAAGACTCTATGACAAGTAGAGGATCAATTTCTCCTCGTGTATGTACTTTTGGCATTGGTAAGAATTTTAGCATTTTGGAAACAGTTTTTTCCTCTTAACGGACTGTCAAAGACTGCCTTTTTTCAGTCAGTTTGGTTTCTTATAGGAATCAGGAATTACATTTCTGTAAATGGCTGCACGGACACTATATATTCTACCTTTTCAACCACATCTTGATGTATCAATTCTTTCTAAAATAATTGATTCTGCCTTGTTGCCAAAATGCATATGGGCCTTAATACAAAATTCAAAGATAATAACCTTGTTCTAAAGAGCTTTCTACTCAAGTTGAGTTCACCCTGTTTGTTCCATGTTTGCTTACTACATTCTTGGAGCATTATAACTGCTGAAGTTTTAACTGATTTACCATGTGCACTCTTTTTCTAGGTCCATATTGTAATCATTATTTCTTGCAAATGTTGGCTCAAATTGGACGAGGCCATTATGATTGTGCTTATGATGCAGGTTATTTTCTTCCTTAATGCCATACATGCAGAAAGATGCAATTTTCTGTTTTTACTGAAGAAAAATGGCTATTGCAGTTTCTTCAACCTCTGCTGTAAATTATTCTGGTTGTATAAATGAGATGATGAAATGTTTTCACTACTTTTAAACCATGGTGTCTTTTTTGTTGTAGTTTAGCTGAAGGGAAAATTGTAAAGAAGATCAGCTTCTGTTCCTTTCTGCCTAAAGCAAATAAAAATACAATAAAGATTCCTATGGCATTCATTTCTTCTTGGTTTTTTATGTGAGCAGACTCAATTGCCTCTAGAATAAAGAGGCTATTTATGAAGGTTTCTTCAATCATTCTGGCTGATATAACCATACACATGGATGGAATTGAGGTACATTTCTTACAAGAACTAATTCTGTCTCACCTTTGTATTGCTTCGTTAGTGACATATTCTGTTGTTCTACATCACCATTCTTGTAGCTGTTTCCATCACATATTCCAGACCTTTCATTTGAAAATCCATTGATTGCATTCGGAACATACAAAGGAGGCTTTCCTGAAAATATTCAAGTTAGTGGCATCTTAGCAGATATGACCAGTTTTGTAACTATCTTGAAAGTTCAAAATGCAAAGGATATGCTACCACTTGACAAGGTACCAGTTCCAATTACTGGGCTTAAAATTGATAAAACATTTGTAGCTAAGCACACCAATTTGCCTTGTTGTTTGCATAGACTAAAATGCTTTGATATGTATCTCGTCAGGTATTTGCAAGGCCACAAATTGATGCTCTCACAACTCAAGCATGGTTCCATGGGAATAAGGAGCTTGAGGAGAAGGTCTGCCGCTGACTTTTCTTAAGCGTTTTTTTGGATGAAAGTTCTCTTAAGCATTTAATTTGACCTCAATAACAAATGTGAGCTTAAGTAAACTACATGAGTAAAATAATGATACAGTTATAGTGTGAAGGGAGACTTCATGCAGATGAGAAATTAAGAACGCAGTGCTGATAATCTCACCTTAACAGATACTTATAGTTAAGCAAAATAAGGAAGCCTTATTTGACAACATCATTTCTTGTCATTCTGTTTATTATAAATTTCCCTTTAATTACAATTTCTTTCATCCAGGTTGCAACAATAAGTTTGCAAACCAGTTATCCATCTGAGTTTACCAGCATGGTTTTGCTCCGAACAGAGGGTAAGGAGAAAGCACCAGAATCAGTTCTCCAACAAGAGGTATATGCCTTAGTCCTTTCTACAAGACTATAGCTTGAACATGACCATATGTTCCATAACCGTGTTGTTTTCTTAATTTCCTGGTCTGTACCAGATACTCAACAAAATCAACAAGCTATTAACAAAAGGAGATGCCAGTAGCCAGGAGATCATTTTCTTTCGATCCCAGGGTGTTGGCTTTGGCAACTTATCAGCAACAGTTAAGAATAAACCTCCAGGAAGCGTGGAACTAGAGTCACTTGAGGGTGCAGAGAGTTTAGTTAAGCCTCGTGGTCAACAGTTGCTTGAAGAATCTACTAGGAAGGGCATCATGCATGTTTTGGAAAATCTTGACTGCCACCATTGCCTCCCTGCTGGTCTTGCTTGTTTTGAGTGCTGCGAATGCAATAACTTCGATTGTTTTGAATGCTGTTATGATTTCTGCTGTTGCTGTTGCAACTGAGGATTATGCATGTGTCAGTTGAATTAGAAAATGAATGGGATGTGAAACTATGTCTAACTTATATACTGTAAAAAATTAGCTGATTGTGTATACATTACTCAATACAATACATACACTCCGTTGTAAATTGTAACATTGATAACGGAAAATAAAGCCTTATCATTTTCTCTCTTTGAAGTTTGAAGGTTTTCCCAGGTTCTTTTGCCTCCATCTTTTGGGATCTTTTATTGTACTCTCCTGATATTTTTCATTAGGTTTTACCTCATTTTGAAGAGGATGAAGGCATGGTAGTGAGGGTTGGTAAGGCTGGTTTGGTAGAGATATTTCTCAACTTTTGTCCACTAATCTAAATTTTAAGGCTAATAAAAATTATAAATATTATCTTTAAAAAT